ACTTTCAGCTTGATCCTTTATCCCACTAAGCTCCCCTCATTAACCCCTCTTGAATGTGTACTCATTCGACCCCACTTCCCAATCCCGAAAATACCGGATTTCGAAGTTCGAACTCCGAACTTCGACTTTAGGCTTAATCCCTTATCCCATTAGACTCCCCTCAGTCCCAGCTCTTGAATGACTACCCACTCACCCATATCCCCCAACCTCGTAAATCCCTGATTTCGAAGTTCGAACGCGAAACTTCGAATTTAGACTTTATCTTTTATCCCGATAGACTCCCCTGATAATCCCCTCTTGAATGACTACACACTTGCGAATATCCCCAAACCCCGAAAATCCCGGATTTCGAAGTTCGAACACCGAACTTCGAATTTCGACATTATCCCTTATCCCATTAGACTCCCCTCACTATCCCCTCTTGAATGACTATCCTCTTGCCCATATCCCCCACTCCCGAAAATACCGGATTTCGAAGTTCGACTTCGAAATTCGACTTTAATCCTTATCCTTTATCCCATTAGACTCCCCTCAGTTCCAGCTCTTGAATGACTACCCACTCACCCATATCCCCCAACCCCGAAAAACCCGGATTTCGAAGTTCGACTTCGAAATTCGACTTTAATCCTTATCCTTTATCCCATTAGACTCCCCTCAGTTCCAGCTCTTGAATGACTACCCACTCACCCATATCCCCCAACCCCGAAAAACCCGAATTTCGAAGTTCGAACTCCGAACTTCGACTTTTATACTTATCATTTATCCCATTCAACTCCCCTCATTATCCGCTTTCGAATGACTACTCATTCGACCATATTCGAAAATCCCTAAAAATCCCGAAATCCCGGATCCCTAATTTCGAATTCCCCCTTATTCCACTATCAATAAACCCTCCCTCAACTCGAAACTTGCTTAAGTTTCGAGATCCCACTATTTTAACTCGAAATTTCTCCTATCAATCAAAATTTCTCTCTCACCTATGAGATTTGCCTCCTGGCTTTCCTCAATTTAGAGAAATCCGACAATTATCGGTAAGACAATTTTCTTACAAAAATTTTTGCCCCCCTATAAGTACCCCTAAAGTTCGAATTTCGGATTTGAAATTTTTCCTACCCATATCTACCTATCCCAACTTAATTTCCTACCAGCAGAAGTTTTCCCATATCTTTATCCATTTTCGAGTTAGTTAAAAAAAAGCCGAATTTTAAATCCCGACACATGCGACAATTCACAGGAAATGTCTGAATTTTGTGTCAAGCATAAGTACCCTCCAAATTCGAATTTCGACTTCGAGTTTTTTCCTACATATATTAGCTTGGTCCAACTTAAAATCCTACCAGCAGAAATTTTCCTCTAAGTCCACTCAGTCCCGAGATAGCCCCGGCACCTATATTATTTAGGTACCATGGGGGTTCCAAAATCTTCCGTCCATAATTTTCCTAGGTGCGGCATAAAATTTGACCCCGGACATGTCAAACTTTCATGCCCGTATCTATACTCTGGAAAGAGCTTGAGTTTTTCCGACAAATTTTACCAATACTTTTATATAATATATTAAAAGCGATGGGTTTGGCCACTGGGGTGCCTATTACGATACTGTGGCGGTAAAAAACATCGGGGGGTTCTTTAAATTACGATACTTCTGCCCGTTGGAAAGCCTAACGGCTTTGGGGGCGCGCTTCGCGCGCCGCTAGTAATTTTTTATGCCTGGAACAAAAGATTAGCCTTGAGTTGGGACTCATCCATCCATTTAGAGTCACTTCGGGACTTCGGCCCTCGTCTTCCCCTCATTTGGACTCATCCTTCCACTTAGAGTCACTTCGGGCCTTCGGCCCTCGTCTTCCTCCCATTTGGACTCATCCTTCCACTTAGACTCATCCTTCCACCCTTTGGCCCTACCTTTTAGATGGGTGTCAGCTCGGGCCTTCGGCCCTCGCCCTTCTTTTTAGATGGGTGTCAGCTCGGGCCTTCGGCCCTCGCCCTCCCTTTTAGATGGGTGTCAGCTCGGGCCTTCGGCCCTCGCCCTTCCTTTTAGATGGGTGTCAGCTCGGGCCTTCGGCCCTCGCCCTTCCTTTTAGACTCATCCTTCCACTTAGACCCTTGTCTTTTTCATTATTAGGACTCATCCTTTCACTTAGAGTCACTTCGGACTCATCCTTCCACTTAGACCATTGTCTTTTCTTTATTCGGGTTCATCTCTCACTTTGAGTCACTTCGGACTCATCCTTCCACTTAGACCCTTGTCATTTCTTTATTCGGACTCATCCTTTCACTTAGAGTCACTTCGGGCCTTAGCCCTCGTCTTCCCCTCGATTGGACTCATCCTCTCAAGGAGAACAAAATTTCGAAGCAGAAACTGCTTCACGAAGCAATTTCTGCTTCGGATTCATAACAGGATCCAGCTTATCTTACCACAAAATTTTCCCCAATATACAAAATTCACCCCTAAGTTCTTCACCGGTTTGCCCGGCATGGTTAGAGACGGAGAAAAATTTCGTCTCTCTGCCATCAACTTCTACTGTCAATCATTTTTCCTCTTTCCGTCCCATCATTCTCCGGGTACGGTACTCAACCCACAAATTTTCGAACATTTGTAACTTCGTCAAAATGTACCGAAAAATTTTGAAAAAAATATTTTTATACCCAGCTCGATAAGAGCTTTCGAATGATATCTCATTTGCCATATCTATTTTGATTTTTAAAATTAAAATTTTTTAGCCGGAAATTTCTGCATGAAAAATTCACTAAAATTTTCAAAAAATCATATCTCACCTAAAGTATATCTTTTTTGAAAATTTTAAATTCTTATTAGATACAGAAAAATAAATTTTTAAAAATTTTAAAACTTATCCGATGCCTTCGGCCCTCACCCTCTCTTTTAGATGGCTTTCAGCTCGGGCCTTCGGCCCTCGCCCTTCCTTTTAGATGGGTGTCAGCTCGGGCCTTCGGCCCTCGCCTTCCCTTTTAGATGGGTGTCAGCTCGGGCCTTCGGCCCTCGCCCTTCCTTTTAGATGTGTGTCAGCTCGGGCCTTCGGCCCTCGCCCTTCCTTTTAGATGTGTGTCAGCTCGGGCCTTCGGCCCTCGCCTCCCCTTTTCGCCCTCCCTTTTAGATGGGTGTCAGCTCGGGCCTTCGGCCCTCGCCCTCCCTTTTAGATGTGTGTCAGCTCGGGCCTTCGGCCCCGCCCTTACTTTTAGATGGGTGTCAGCTCGGGCCTTCGGCCCTCGCCGTTCCTTTTAGATGTGTGTTGGGACTCGTCCTTCAACTTAGAGTCATTTCGGGCCTTCGGCCCTCGTCTTTCACTCATTCGGACTCATCTTTCCATTTAGAGTCACTTAGGGCCTTCGACCCTCGTGTTCCCTCAGTTGGGACTCGTCCTTCCACTTAGAGTCACTTATGACTCATCCTTCCACTTAGACACTTGTCTTTGCTTTTTTCGGACTCATCCTTCCATTTAGACTCACAAATTCTAATCACAAATCAAAATTTTAAAAGCTGAAGCAAATTTGCTTCAAGTTTCAAAAATTTAAAACTTGAAGCAAATTTGTTTCATGCTTCAAATTTCAAAACTTGAAGCAAAAACACGAAGCAGAAGCATGCTTCTGCTTCGGATCCATAACAGGATCCAGCTTATCTACCAAAAAAATTTTCTCCAACTTACAGAATTCAGCCCTAAGTTCTTCGCCGGTTTGCCCGGCATGGTCAGAGACGGAGAAAATTTTCGCCTATCTGCTATCAATTTCACCTGTCAATCATTTTTTCTCTCTCCCTACCATAATTCTCCCGATACTGTACTCCGCCCCACAAATTTTAGAACCTCTATACTTTCGTCAAAATGCCCCCAAAAATTTCGAAAAAAATATTTTTTTATCCAGCTTAATAAGAGCTTTCGAATGATATATCATTTGACATATCTATCTTGATTTTTAAAATTTAAATTTTTTGGCTGGAAATTTCTGAAGGAAAAACTCACTGAAATTTTCAAAAAATCATAACTTTTTCAAAATAGCCCTTTTTTGGAAATTTTAAAATCCTATCCGATGCAGAAAAATCTGCTCAATCCAGGAAAAATACACATAGCCTTAACCACTTGCAAAAATCACGAAAAATTTTCAAAAACCCGAAAAATTTTGGGTTTTTCGAAAATTGGCCCCTACGGGTCAGTTTTGACTTTTTTCGAAATTTTTTTATCTCAAAAAATTCCTAATTTTTTGCCCAATTTTATAAAGTAACCCGCATGCAAAAATCCCTATCCCTTCCAAAGTTATGGCGATTTAAAAAATCCCGAAAATCCCCCAGGAGGGGTACCCCTTTGGAAAAATTCGGGGGTAAAAAATTTTAAATTTTGACACAAAAAACATGTTTTATAGTGTATTCGTACCTGCTGAGTACGAATCCGTTGTCGGAAAAATTCTAAAAATTTTTTTAACAAAGTTAGAGTCTGAAAACCATTTCAGTCTCAGACTCAAATCGCGAATACTTTACTAAAAACTTCGAAATTCGAAATTTTTTTAATCCCATTGAACTCCCCTCATTATCCCCTCTTGAATGAGTACTCATTCAGCTATATCCACTTAAATCTCAAATCCCGGATTTCGAAGTTCGAACTCCGAACTTCGACTTTCAACATTATCCTATATCTCATTAGACTCCCCTGATCATACCCTCTTGAATGAATACTCATCGACCTTACTTCCCACCCCCGAAAATCCCGGATTTAGAAGTTCGAACTCGAACTTCGACTTTCGACTTAATCCTATATCCCATTAGACTCCCCTCACTTCCAGCTGTCGAACGACTACCCTCTTGCCCATACTTCCTTATCCCGAAAATCCCGGATTTCGAAGTTCGAACTCCGAACTTCGACTTTCTTCTTAATCCTTTATCCCATTCAACTCCCCTGATCATCCCCTCTTGAATGACAACCCACTCACCCATACTTCCCAAACCCGAAAATCCCGGATTTCGAGGTTCGAACTCCGAAGTTCGACTTTAGACATTATGCGATATCCCACTAGGCTCTCCTCATTATCCCCTTTTTAATGAGTACTCATTCGACCCCAATTCCCAATGCCGAAAATCCCGTATTTCGAAGTTCGAACTCCGAACTTCGACTTTCGGCTTTATCCCTTATCCCTTTCAACTCCCCTCACTCCCAGCTCTCGGACGACTACCCTCTTGCCCATACCTCCCAATCCCGAAAATCCCGGATTTCAAGTTCGACTTCGAACTTCGACTTTTATCCTTATACCTTATCCCTCTAAACTCCCCTCACTCCCAGCTCTCGAACGACTACCCACACACCCATATATCTTAACCCCGAAAATCCCGGATTTCGAAGTTCGAACTCCGAACTTCGACTTTCGGCTTTACCATATATCCCATTCAACTCCCCTCTTTATCCGCTTTCGAATGAATACTCATTCGACCATATTCGATAATCCCTAAAAATCCCGAAATCCCGGATCCCTAATTTCGAAATCCCCATATAATTTCCCCCAAATTACCCTCCCTCAACTCGAAACTTGCTTAAGTTTCGAAATCCCACTATTTTAACTCGAAATTTCTCCCATCAATCAAAATTTCTCTCTCACCTATGAGATTTGCCCTTAGGATTTCCTCATTTTAGAGAAATCCGACAATTATCGGTAAGACAATTTTCTTACAAAAATTTTTGCCCCCCTATAAGTACCCCTAAAGTTTGAATTTCGGATTTGAAATTTTTCCTACCCATATCTACCTATCCCAACTTAATTTCCTACCAGCAGAAGTTTTCCCATATCTTTATCCATTTTCGAGTTATTTAAAAAAAAGCCGAATTTTAAATCCCGACACATGCGACAATTCACAGGAAATGTCTGAATTTTGTGTCAAGCATAAGTACCCTCCAAATTCGAATTTCGACTTCGAGTTTTTTCCTACATATATTAGCTTGGTCCAACTTAAAATCCTACCAGCAGAAATTTTCTTCTAACTGTACCCATTCCGGAGATATCCCCGGTACCTCTATTATTTAGGTACCATGGGGGTTCCAAAATCTTCCGTCCATAATTTTCCTAGGTGCGGCATAAAATTTGACCCCGGACATGTCAAACTTTCAAGCCCGTATCTCTACTCTGGAAAGAGCTTGAGTTTTTCCGACACTTTTTACCAATACTTTTATATAATATATTAAACTAGCGATGGGTTTGACCACTGGGGTGGATATCAGGACACTGTGGCGGTTAAATTTTGCTTTGGGTTTAAATTTGGCTCTGCCCGTTCGAAAGCCTACGGCTTTGGGGGCGCGCTTCGCGCGCCGCTAGCGATTTTTTATGCCTGGAACAAAAGATTAGCCTTCATTGGGACTCATCCTTCCACTTAGAGTCACTTCGCCTTCGGCCCTCGTCTTCTCTTTTAGATGGGTGTCAGCTTGGGCCTTCAGCCCTCGTTGTCTCTTTTAGATGGGTGTTAGCTCGGGCCTCCGGCCCTCGACCTCCCTCTTAGATGGGTGTCATCACGGGCCTTCGGCCCTCGCCCTCCCTTTTGGATGGGTGTCAGCTCAGGCCTCCGGCTCTCGCCCTCCCTTTTAGATGGGTGTCAGCTCGGGCCTTCGGCCCTCGCCCTCTCTTTTAGATGGGTGTTAGCTCGGGCCTCCGGCCCTCGACCTCCCTCTTAGATGGGTGTCAGCACGGGCCTTCGGCCCTCGCCCTCCCTTTTGGATGGGTGTCAGCTCAGGCCTCCGGCTCTCGCCCTCCCTTTTAGATGGGTGTCAGCTCGGGCCTTCGGCCCTCGCCCTCCCTTTTGGATGGGTGTCAGCTCAGGCCTCCGGCTCTCGCCCTCCCTTTTAGATGGGTGTCAGCTCGGGCCTTCGGCCCTCGCCCTCTCTTTTAGATGGGTGTTAGCTCGGGCCTCCGGCCCTCGACCTCCCTCTTAGATGGGTGTCAGCACGGGCCTCCGGCCCTCGCCCTCCCTTTTAGATGGTTGTCAGCTCGGGCCTTCGGCCCTCGCCATCCCTTTTGGATGGGTGTCAGCTCAGGCCTCCGGCTCTCGCCCTCCCTTTTAGATGGGTGTCAGCTCGGGCCTTCGGTCCTCGCCCTCTCTTTTAGATGAGTGTCAGCTCGGGCCTTCGGCCCTCGCACTCCCTTTTAGATGGGTGTTAGCTCGGGCCTCCGGCCCTCGCCCTCTCTTTTAGTTGTGTGTTAACTCGGGCCTTCGGCCTCGACCTTCATTTTAGATGGGTGTCAGCTCGGGCCTTCGGCCCTCGCACTCCCTTTTAGATGGGTGTTAGCTCGGGCCTCCGGCCCTCGCCCTCCCTTTTAGATGGGTGTCAGCTCGGGCCTTCGGCCCTCGCGACTCCATTTTAGATGGGTGTCAGCTCGGGCCTTCGGCCCTCGCACTCCCTTTTAGATGGGTTTTAGCTCGGGCCTCCGGCCCTCGCCCTCTCTTTTAGTTGTGTGTTAACTCGGGCCTTCGGCACTCGACCTTCATTTTAGATGGGTGTTAGCTCGGGCCTTCGGCCCTCGCACTTCCTTTTAGATGGGTGTCAGCTCGGGCCTTCGGCCCTCGCGACTTCTTTTAGATTAAGAATGGTAACGTAAACCTATGGAGCGTTGGCGAGGCGCTTGTGCAAAACCCCGCGCTTCGCGCGGGGTTTTGCGGCACGCGCCTCGCGGGTCGTCAAAGGTCGCTGGCTTCTGGGCTCGTAACATGATCCTATTCCTATAACTATTATGTTGCATGCCGGGCTTCCTATGCAGCAGCTCATCCACTCACGCAGCTCATTCAACTCGGGCTTCTGCCCTCGCCCTCTCTTTTAAATGGGTGTCAGCTCGGGCCTTCGGCCCTCTCTTTTAGATGAGCGTCTGATCGGGCCTTCGGCCCTCGCCCTCAATTTTAGATGAACGTAAACCTATGGAGCGTAGGCGAGGCGCTTGTGCAAAACCCCGCGCTTCGCGCGGGGTTTTGCGGCACGCGCCTCGCGGGGCGTCAAAGGTCGCTGGGTTCTTGGCTCGTAACATGAGCCTATTCCTATAACGATTAGGATGGAACTCATCCTTCCAATCAAAGGTTCTGGGCTCGTAACATGATCCTATTCATATAACGATTAGGATAGGACATCCTTCCAATCAGAATCACATTATGCCGTCGGCCCTCTTCTTCTCCCAGTTGGGACTTCGACCCTCGTGTTCCCTCAGTTGGCACTAATTCAACTACCTAATCAAAATTTTAAAAGCTGAAGCAAAATTGCTTCTAAAATCAAAAATAAAAAACTTGAAGCAAATTTGCTTCAAGTTTCAAAAATTTCAAAACCTGAAGCAAATTTGCTTCAAGTTTCAAAAATTCAAAACTCAAAGCAAATTTGCTTCAAGTTTCAAAAATCCAAAACCTGAAGCAAATTTGCTTCAAGTTTCAAAAATCCAAAACCTGAAGCAAATTTGCTTCAAGTTTCAAATATTCGAAACTGAAGCAAAAATGTGAAGCAAAAGCATCTTCTGCTTCGGATCCATAACAGGATCCAGCTTATCCAACCTCAAAATTTTTCTCTATATACAAAATTCACCTTTAAACTCTTCTACGGTTTGCCCCGTATGGTCAGAGACGCAGAATAATTTTGCTTCTCTTCCAAACATTTCACCTGTCAATCATTTTTTCTCCCTCCCTCCCATCATTCTCTGGGTACGGTACTCCACCCCACAAATTTTCGAACCTCTGTATGTTCGTTAAAATGTACCGACAAAATTCGAAAAAAATATTTTTAAATTCATCACGATGAGAGCTTTCGAATGATATATCATTTGACATATCTATCTTGATTTTTGAAATTATAATTTTTTCCCCGGAAATTTTGGCCGAAAAAAATCCTTAAAATTTTCAAAAAATCATAACTTGCTTAAAGTTAGCCTTTTTTGAAAATTTTTAAATTCTATCCGATGCAGAAAAATCTGCTCAATTCAGGAAAAATATAATCTGCACGAAACAAATGCAAAAATCCCGAAAATTTTTTAAAAAACAGAAAAATTTTGGGTTTTTCGAAATTCGACCCCTATACCCCAAGTTTCGACTTTTTTCGAAATTTTTTGGGCTAAAAAAATTTCTAATTTTTTGCTCTATTTTATAATGCAAACCCTATCCCAATACAGCCATCACACAAAAAGTTATGGCGATTTAAATAATCCCGAAAATCCCCCAAAAGGGGTACCCCTTTAAAAATAGGGGGTGGGACAAAATTTTCAAATTTTGACCCAAAAAACGACCTATATGGTACTCTGACATGCGCTGAGTACGAATCCGGCGTCAGAAAAATTTTAAAAAATTTCCCCAGGAAGTTAAAATCTCATGAAGTTTCGCGACATTTGCGAACATTGACCATAACTTTTTGAGACTCAAGTGGACCCCCAACATATTATACCTTTTTCGGAGCCCCTCATTATCCCCTCTTGAATGACTACTCAATCACCGATATCCACTTCAATCTCAAATCCCAAAAATCCCGGATTTCGAAGTTCGAACTCCGAACTTCGACTTTTCGGCTTTATCCTTTATCACATTCAACTCCACTCATTATCCCCTCTTGAATGAGTACTCATTCATCCTTATCCACTTCAATCTCAAATCCCGAAAATCCCGGATTTCGAAGTTCGAACTCAGAACTTCGAATTTCGACTTTATCTTTTATCCCATTAGACTCCCCTGATAATCCCCTCCTGAATGACTACCCACTTGCGAATATCCCCAAACCCCGAAAATACCGGATTTCGAAGTTCGAACTCCGAACTTCGAATTTCGACATTATCCCTTATCACATTAGACTTTCCTGATAATCCCCTCTTGAATGACTACCCACTTGCAAATATCGCCAAACCCTGAAAATACCGGATTTCGAAGTTCGAACTCCGAACTTCGAATTTCGACATTATCCCTTATCCCATTAGACTCCCCTGATCATCCCCTCTTGAATGACTACCCACTTGCCCATATCCCCAACCCCTGAAAATCCAGGATTTCGAAGTTCGACTTCGAACTTCGACTTTAGCCATGATCCCTTATCCCACTGAACTCCCCTCATTATCCCCTCTCGAATGACTACCCTCTTGCCCATACTTCCCAACCCCGAAAATACCGGATTTCGAAGTTCGAACTCCGAACTTGGAATTTCGACATTATTCTTTATCTCATTATACTCCCCTAATCATCCCCTCTTGAATGACTACCCACTCACCCATACTTAGAAATCCCGAAAAACCCGGATTTCGAAGTTCGAACTCCGAACTTCGACATTCGGCGTTATCATTTATC